GCGTTACTGCAAGAAGATATTGAATGAATAAGGCGGCGTCTGTGGACATTCATAATTGAACAAGCCACTCTCTGCAAGGACATGAAGTTGAAGTAAAAGTGAGAGTGATAGATGAGGATGATAATTCAAGACTTCGCTATATATAAGGCATGCAGTAGGTTCGAGTCATTTCTTAGTCTGTAATTGCCATGGACCGCCTGCTACGTGGATTGGCTATGGGGGTGCGGCACAAGCCTTCATCCTTTTAACCCACAGAAAGACATCATTCAGATGGGTGCCAAAGAAGTTTCTGATGATCCCACTCACCCAGACTCCGCAGAGACTGTACACGTGTCAGCATTGGCACTACTGAAAATGTTGAGGCATGCTCGAAGTGGAGTGCCTTTGGAGGTTTAACAGGCTTCAAGAACAAGCGAGTAGCGTGAGACAACTCATTACAGGTCATGGGTCTAATGCTGGGTAGTTTTGTGGACGATTATACGATAAATGTTGTGGATGTTTTTGCGATGCCTCAGAGTGGAACTGTATGCGAAAATTTCGACCCTTATGACTGAAGGCTTGCAGGCGTTACCTGTGCAGCCTCGGGAGTTGCACTGGTGTCGATGCCGTGCCATCATGCTGGAACCCAATGAACGAGCTTACTGGTCGAATTGTTGCAAGACGCATGCACGGCTTTGGCGCTGGCAACTCTAAAGTCAAACATAGAGAGAGTACACGATCAGTACAAGCGCGCCATCACCACCTAAATACGTATTCGGTTACGAACTGCTTGCCTTGCAGAGCGTTACGGTTGAATCGGTCGACCCTGTATATCAAACGAAACACATGGAGCTACTTAAACAGACTGGTCGCACTGAAATGGTAGTTGGATGGTAAGTGTTCTAATAGTGAAGAAGAAAGCCAACCCGTCTAATGTTCCTCAGGTACCATTCTCATCCAGGCTTTGGCTGCTGGTTATCCAGCGTTGACGTTAGCACACAACAATCCTTTGAAGCTCTTCATCCCAGAGCTGTAGCTCTTGTCGTGGATCCTATACAAAGCGTCAAGGGAAATGTGAGAGGTTTGGATGTTGAGACGTGATTAGCATCATTAGTCTATGACAGGTGATGCTGGATGCTTTCCGATCCATAAATCCATTGGCCGTAAATCCTCGCCTTTGCGCACCAACTGCTGAAGCCCGTCAGACCACTAGCAATATGGGCCACCTTGTTAGACCAAGCCTTGTATCTACAGTACATGGTTTAGGATTACGGTTGGTAGACTCCAGCCTTTGCTACCACAAACGTAAAATTAAAAATTCAGATATTACTCGTTGAACTGTGCGTACAAACTGACCACAAGAGAACAAAAGATGTTGTCTAGTTTGAATCAAAAATCCTGGTCGGATGGAATGGTTCGTGTATTCAATTTGTTAATATCTACTGAGTGCTACTATGGTAGCATCCTTCATGACCTTCATTTTTATGCGTTCGCTTCCCCTCCCACCTGTGTCATAGTTTACTGACGATTATCCAGTAGCATTAGTTAAATTCTCTTTGAAATCATCGCTTTGCACGCAAAAGTGAAACAGATCTATGCCAAACTTATGCCACTGTTGTGCTATCTTATCTTATTTTCAATTCCAGAGCATTAAAAAGTTCTCCGCTGTTGAACAGGCTAACAGTGATCAAGTAGAGGAGATGCTTAAGCTCACGCAATTATTTACTAAGGTACGTACGATGACTGATTGATATGTACCGTATTTTACTGAAACTAAGGATATACAATCAGACAAACCGATTGCCACTAACGAAGAACAAATCAAAAAGTATGGGCGTCTGAATGCTAAACAAAAACTAGAAGAAGTGAGCATTTGCATGTTTTCTCATTATAGAATTCTATATCAATGTTTTTCTTTCAGCTGGCTAATCAGATCATGGCCGAAAACATAGTGCAGCAACTGAGCACAGTGATTAACACGCAGTCCTTGCAGTAGGACTTGTATTGCAAAAGCACGAAAGTGTCCACTAATATTGTACTTTACTCGAATAAACATTCTGGACTAGGGCTGTCGCAGAAATACTTAGGCTTGTTGATAAACCCTGTCACTCCTCCTTGTGCAACTCTGTAAGCCTTTGGGAATAGCATTTGTATACCGCGAAAAACGATCTTAAAAGGGATGGCGGTTGTGAAGGAACGATGTGTATCGAAAAGCGTGGCTGAAATTTGTTGTGTTTGATGTGATCGGTTGTTTAAAGGAGTTTGATCTCTGGGAAAATCATTTTCTGAATCAAAGAAATGTCTACCGAAGCCTGCTACGAATCTTGAAAAGTTGTAGACGCAAATTGTTAGCTTGTAAAGGAAGTTTTGAGAATTTCGTATTATCATAATTTATGCGCATACAAGAGGCTGGCTTACAGAGAATTTTCAACTTGCGATGGCGCCAGCTACTAAAAGATGTTTGATTAAAAATGTTTTAAACTAGGAAGAAACATCTCAGAAAGGTAAGTTAACTGCGCTTTGCGATGAGGCACATTTTAAAGGTACTATATGCGCAGAACGCGAGAAAGCTGATTTAGTAATCCATTTTGTACATTGCTTTTGGTCAGATGAAGCGAAATCCGACTATTACCTGCT